ACGAAGAGGTGCAGTAATATGGGTGTCCTTCGTGTGGCTGGCAGCTTTTATTTTTGTTATTCCACTCACTGTTGTTGGTAAAATAACAAAAGATGGCAAATGTAAAGAATATTGGCCTTCCCTTGCTAATCGCCAGGCATACACCGTCTCACTCCTCACAGCACAGTATATTTTACCGCTGCTGATAATAGCAATTTGCTACATACGAATATGGCTTTTTATGAGAAATCGACCGGTGTTTCCGAGAAACAGCAATTTATTCACTAACAGACGGATCCCGGGAGTAAAAAATACAAGAGAGAGTATGATAATACTGAAAACCGTAGCAGTAATTGTGTTCTTGTTTTCGGTATTGTTGCTGCCAAATCAAGTCGCGTGGATGCTGTTGGATTTCAGAAATGTTTCCTACGAAGAGCTCTGGTTTGTTGCAAATATATTTTCAAGGCTCCATAGCTGTCTAAACCCAGTCGTTTATGGAGTGATGAATAAACAGTACCGTCGTAATTACGTCACGTTTTTAACACGCGCCCTGTACTACGGTCACGTGTCACGTGTCGCGCAGGCGCCAACATAGGATGAAAGATACATAGTTTATTCACTATCGCTCAGAAACTAAGAAATTGAATTACACGCTTATTAAAAATGACGATATCAATAGTAGCATTAAAAAGAAGTATCAGTGGTTTAAAGGAAGTTTTTATGGAAATATGTTTGTACATCTGTTACGGTTATAAATAAAATATTTCGATTAAATATAAAATTCTGACAAAATAATTTAGGCTTTAAGGGCATTAAAAGTGATAAAACTGTTAAGAAAGATTTCTGTCTTGAACACGGGCTTAAACTTCTGTTTGTTTCTAAAGTTCAAAGTACTTGTGCTACGAACAGGAAGAAGGTCATGGAGCTCACACTGAAGAAGTTATTGAATAATTTATAAAATAGTTCCTGACGGCGATCTGAAATTTATTTAAGTCTGATTCAGCCAATGCCTCATTCTATGAGCAAAAGGGAAAGACGATGCGAATTGGTCGCTTTTGTTCTCCTTCATTCTCGTTGGAAAGGTACGTGGGGAGACAAGACATGCATACTCTGTGATCGGTCAAATACAAGTGCAGAAAAACTGCTCTAACTCACGGGTACCCAGACCAGATCGTTTAAGTTATGTCACATTAATGATTTATGCCACTGGGGAGTCACGTGTCTCTTACACTCGTCTCACGTCACTGATGTCACCAAAAAGAGAAAAAGAAGAAACAAGAATCTAACAGCTGAGTGATCTCGTCATAGAGAAAAATATGCATTTACAGGGGCTATAATTCAAGGTGATAGAAACACACAAGCCTTTTTAAAATCCTGGAAAGAAAATAGCTGGCTATTTGCAGGATCAATTTATATCGGAAACAATAGCAGAAGTAAAAAGACTTTCTACAGAAGAAGTGCAGTTCTAAAGAAGTAGACGTTAAGATTCATTTTGTAGACTACAAGCAGTCCGATCTTTTCGGCGAAGTCCGTCGCGCGAGGAAAAAAATATGTGAAAAGAAAAATGATTTTAGTGCGCCACGGAACTCTAGAAGTGAGGTACGCAGACATCAATTATTTTTTCCACTGATTTTATTCCTTTACTTGCGCGATGGACTTCGGCAAAAGGAGAGACTGCTCGTTGTCTATTCCTGCTCAAACCTGATTGAAAACTGTGCACGACTTGTATATTATTTGTAACGATCACTCGAAGCTCTAATCTTTGACATAAGCACCATCATGGTATTAACTTGTTCATAATCCAAAAGCAATGCAATACGGTTCTCTAATCTATTTATTAGTGTGCGCTCGTCTGGCTCAGCAAATTTAGACAAGCGTATATATGAGAACTTAATTGTCAACCTTCTTGTCTTATATCTTAAATGTACATAATGTTTGTTGAGTTAAATCTGGTTTCAATATCAGTTATTTCTTTAACTTTCCAAATAAAATTAAC